GATTGCAAGACTGGATCTAATGGGTGGAAATTACAAGGGAGTCGTTACTGGCTAAATATCAGGAGAGACTTCCTAACTGTTAGAGTGGTTGAGGAGTGGAACAGTCTGCCTCGGGAGGGGGTGGATGCTCCTTCGCTGGATGTTTTCAAGCGGAGGCTGGACGAACCTCTATCGGGTACGTTGTAGGTATGTAGGGGATGGACTAGATGACCTGCAAGGTCCCTTCCAACTCTAACATTCTATGATTGAAAGAGAGAGAGAGAGAGAGAGAGAGAGAGAGAGAGAGAGAGAGAGAGAGAGAGAATCTTTTCTCCCACACCCATAACACTAGACTTTGGGAAGCTGATGGGCAGCAGATTCACATGAAGCTGCCTTATACTGAGTCAGATAAATCAGCTCTCCAGGGTCACAGGCAGAGGTTTTTCACATCAGCTGCTGCCTGGCCCTTTTTAACTGGAGATGCTGCCAGGGACTGATCCTGGGACCTTCTGCATGCCAAGCAGAGGCTCTACCATTTTCCCATGGCCCTTGAACAAAATGAAATACAGGATGGACAAAAGGAAATATTTCTTTACTCAAGTAATTACAATGTGGAATATTAGATTCAGGTTGGTAGCTGTGTTGGTCTGAAGAAGTAGAACAAAGTATGAGTCCATTGCAACCGTTAAGACAAGCACATTTTTATTCACGATATGAGCTTTCATGTGCACGCACGCTTCCTCAGATACGAAATGGAATTTACCAGTCCATACATATAGGCAGACTGTGACAACAGCCATGAAATTAAAGGACGCCTGATCCTTGGGAGGAAAGCGATGGCGAACCTAAACAGCATGATGAAAAGTAGAGACATCACCCTGCCAACAAAAGTCCGCATGGTCATAGCAATGGTATTCCCAGTAGTCATGTATGGCTGCGAGAGTTGGACTATAAGGAAGGCCGAGCGCAGAAGAATAGATTCTTTTGAACTATGGTGCTGGAGAAGACTCTTGAGAGTCCCTTGGACTGCAAAAAGATCAAATCAGTCAATCCTAAAAGAAATCAACCCTGACTGTTCCCTGGAAGGCCAGATCCTGAAGTTGAAGCTCAAATACTTTGGCCACCAAATGAGAAGGGAGCACTCACTGGAGAAGACCCTGATGCTGGGAAAGATTGAAGGTCAAAGAAGACGGGGACGGCAAAGGATGAGATGGTTACACAGTGTCATAGATGCAACGAACATGAAGTTGAGCAAACTCCAGAGGACGGCGGAAGACCAGAAGGCCTGGCGTGATCTGGTCCATGGGGTTGCAAAGAGTCGGACTCGACTGTGTGACTGAACAACAACAACATATAGGCAAAGGTTGAGCAGCAAATTAGCATACAACATTAACACATGGAATTCACTGCCACAGGAGGTGGCGGCGGCTACAAGCATGGGCAGCTTCAAGAGGGAATTAGATAAGCATATGGAACAGAAGTCCATCAGGGGCTATTAGCCACAAGGTATAGATGGGAACTCTCGGTCTGGGGCAAATGATGCACTGTACTCTTGGTGCTTGGGTGGGGGCAAGAGTGGGAGGGCTTCTAGTGTCCTGGCCCCACTGCTGGACCTCCTGCTGGCCCCTGGTATTTTTAGCCCCTGTGTGAGACAGAGTGTTGGACTGGATGGGCCATTGGCCTGATCCCACATTGGCTTCTCTTATGTTCTTATGTTCTTATTATAAAAATATTTATCAGATTCAGGAATAATAAGCTTGGTTTATATGGCTACCATTTAACATTGTGGAATGTTTTTCCCCACCCTCCACTGTTGCTCCTGCTGGACCAAAGAGCAACGGGGGCAGGAGCTGGGTGCCATGGTGGGCAATCTGGGCAGACTACTCCACACTCTTTGATGCTTTCCCTTTGATGTGTAGAGTGCTACCCTCCGGAAATTTTCCTTCCTTCCGGCCACCCTCTTTCTCTCCATCTTGCTACCATGCGACCAAGAGATGGCTTCTTGCAACTCTACCCATTCCAGCAGGGGTCATTTCGTAGAAAAAGAGGTGCAGGAGCTCATTAGCATAATTCATTAGCATTACTCATTTGCATATGCCACACCCCCTGACATCACCGGAAGTGTGTCAGAAGGCAACACCCACCACTCAGGCTCCACTGGACTGTTTTGAATTGCTAGCTATTGGGGGGGGGGAACGTGCAGATCTGTCCTCGCAGAGGAGGGAGAGCTGGTACCTGAATAAAACTTTGTCTTAAAGGTCCCACTGGACTGTTTTGGATTGCTAGCTATTGGGGGGGACGTGACGTGCAGATCTGTCCTCGCAGAGGAGGGAGACCTTGTACCTGAATAAAACTTGGCCTTAAAGGTGCCACTGGACTGTCTTGGACCGGGGGGGGGGGGGCTCTGCAACTTACCTGGCTGCTTCTTGCTCTGACTGAGGGCTGCTGGGAGCAGGGGGTGGGGCTTGTTGCATGTGCCCGCCCCCTGGGCTCTTTACTGCCGGAGCTCCGCTCCTGTGCGCTCCTGCAGGAAATGACCCCTGCATTCTAGCAAGTTAGACAAGATATCCTATCTAGGATGGGGTTCCTTACAATAATTAACAGACTTGTATTGGTTTGCTGAGATATAAAGGTTCTGCGTGTAACTTTATTCTCTACAGCAGCACACACACACGCACCAGGTAATTTCGCTGCGCCAGGTGCCTTGAGTTCTCTGCTAAGGCGATATTTCATCGAGTATGAAGGGCTTAATCACTCTTTGAATCCAGTTCTCCATCCAGCTCTTGGATCTGAGCTTGGAAAGACCTGGGGCTTCAGAGACATTCTTGCAAAACTAGCGCGAATGTGGTCCTCAAGGCCAGCTATGTTCACAGTCTGTATTCTGGACCAGCTGAAGTTTCGGCACCACTTTGAGGGGATGCCCCAAACAAAACTCAATACAGAAATTAATCCCGAAGGGTACCAGGGCACAGCAGCAGGCACAAGGTCATCTCCATCCCACAGGATGCAGATGGGAAAGCGGAAGCTTTGTAAACAATTAGAAACCATAGTTATTTTTGATCTGTGACCAAACAACTTCTATACATTCTATAAGGGAAGGCAGAATACATCTGTCTATAGAAATGGGTATTGGGCAAACACGACACCTCTCCCCACAGGCCTCTTGTTTAGGAGTTGGACTTTTCGAAAATAAATGTTTCGTTTGTGCTCAGCTCAGTGTCTCGGCGATCTGTCAGCTAAAGCTGCCATGAGTGTGGTGTGTGTTTCCCTTTCATGTGCATTCTTTCCCTTGTGCTTAATTGCCTCTTCGCTGCAACGCATATCTCTCAAGGCCACTGGGGGAGTTGCTGTGTCTTTGCACAGAATGAGTCGTGGGAAGCTTCTTACCTGTTTTGCTTTAGCAGCCGTTAGTTCTCAGCCTAATGCCCGCGCGTGGGAACCCCTGTAATTGGGTACTACGTGGGTGTGTGTGTGTATACAAATGCCCTATAACCTATTATGCACATAGATCGCCCGCCATTCCTAACAGTGTTCATGTTACTGCATCTATAAGCATTTCAATAAAAGTAAAACCTTCCTGGAAGCGTCTACTTCGTTGTTTTGCCGTGGGTCCTGACACGATCACAGCTTTAAAATGGCGGGGGAACCAGGTCCCAGCCTGGGCATCCGGTAGAGTGGGAAAGGATACGATAAACGGCACCTTCCTGAGTCTGCAGGGAGTCCTGCTCTCCAGGGAGGCCCTCGGAAGATTCTCAGTCTGCCTAGAACAGAATGTCCTGTGGGACCTATTCTGCCCCAGGTGACAGTGTGTACCCTGTGCCACTTCTTCCTGAGAGAGTTTGGTGTGTGTCGGGTGGCTGCAGCAGAAGACAAGCGTTTCGGGGGCCCTTAAAGACTAACGAAATCTTATTACACCAGCAGGGACATCCGACTTGCCTCAACCCTGCCTGGTAGAATGAGCTCCCGTGTGAGATCAGGGCCCTGCAGGATTTATGACAATTCCGCAGGGCCTGCAAGACGGAGGTCTTCTGCTGGGTTTTTGGTTGAGGCAGTGGACTTTCTCCCCCCCCCTTGGGCCCCCTCCATCTGTAGCCCCTCCATCTGTAACCTGGGTCTATCTGAAGCTCTGGGTCCTTGGGATCCTAAATTTAAAGATCTTTATAACAGAAAACTGACTTTAACATTATCAACCACTGAAGCATCTGTCTTTTATTAGAGTGGTATGGCACCTGCGACATGTGTTGTTATGTCACATCTTTTATATTGTGTTTTAAAATAGTTTTAACTGTATTGCACTTTTACTGTTGGAGCTCGCCCTGAGCCTGTCAAGGGGAGGGTGAGATACAAATCCAATAAATAAATAGATAAATAAATAGATAAATATTTCATCTCCCTCTACTGAGGGATGCTTGGAATTGGGCATTTGGCAAATGATATATCCACTGTGTTCTCCATCACGCCCATATTCTTCTTTCATTCTTTTACTCCTTCACCTTCCATATTCTCCTAATTCTCAATTTTAGCTTATTGTATTGTGTGTGCTACTCATGTTTCCGTACCCCGTTTCATTTGTTTCACTTCACCTGTTGAATCTGAATCTTACTTACTCCCTCAATAATGTCCACTACAGCAAAACAACAACAACATAGTCCACGCTGTTCCATAGCCAGTAGCACTAAAGGGAACAGAAGAAGAGGAGGAGGAGGAGGGGAGATTGGATTTATATCCCACCCTTCACTCGGAGTCTCAGAGCGGCTGACAAACTCCTTTCCCTCCCCCTCCCCACAACAGACACCCTGTGAGGTAGGCGGGGCTGAGAGAGCTCTTTTGAGAACTGCTCTTTCAAGAACAGCTCTTATCAGAACTATGGCTTGCCCAAGATCATCCAGCAGGTACAAGTGGAGGAGTGGGGAATCAAACCCGGTTCTCCCAGATTAGAGTCGGCGCACTTAACCACAACACCAAACTGGCACAAAAACCAGCTGAGAGAAACTGGATCCACTACAAAACATCTGGGTGCCCTAATTTATAGTGTGGTGATGTTTCAACTTTCCCTGGCTTTCTAGAACCTTCCTGAAGGCCCCTTTCACGTCCTTGTTCCGGAGGCTGTAGATGAGGGGGTTGAGCACTGGGGTGATGATGCAGTACATGGTGGAGACTAGGGTGTCAGTCTCTAAGGAATAACCAGCACTTGGACGGTTATAGTTAAGTGAGCCATTTCCAAAATAAAGTATGACGACAATGATGTGAGACGCACAGGTGGAAAAGGCTTTGCGCTTGCCAGTGGTGGAACGGATCTTCAAGATGGAGGACAGGATGAAGACGTAGGAGAGGATGATGGTGAAGAAGGGTCCCCCACCCACAAACAGGCTTGCTACGTGGGATGCAACTTCATTGACGTGTGCATCATTGCAAGCAATTTTCATCAGCGGGGGCAGATCACAGTAGATGTGGTGAATCTGGTTGGCTCCACAGAAGTATAACCTGGAGCTGAGAGCTGTGTGGAGAGCAGAGTGTAGGGCGCCCCAGACCCAGGTGGCAAAGGCTAAAACGGCGCACACCTTGGTGTTCATGAGGCTGGAGTAATGCAAAGGTTTGCAGATGGCGGCATAGCGATCGTAGGCCATGACGGCCAGCAACGCAGCCTCTGTCCCCGTGAAAGAGATCAGGAAGAACATCTGGGCCATGCACTGGTTGTAGGAGATGGTCTGTCGCTGGCGCAAGAAGTTCACCAGGATCTTGGGGACTGTGACAGAGGAGAGACAAATATCTACGAAAGAGAGATGGCTGAGGAAATAATACATGGGCGTATGAAGGCTGGAATCCAGTTGAATCAGAGAAAATATCATGAGGTTGCCCAGCACGGTGACCAAGTAAATGGCTAGGAATGGCAGGAAGAGGTAGATGTGGCTGTTCGGAATGCCGGAGAAACCCAGGAAGACAAATTCCACCACTCGTGTCTGATTCCTCACTCCCATTGAGACTTCAGGACTCACCTGTAAGGAGAGAAACAAAAACAGCTGCGAGAAGACACCTTGGCATGGCAAGCGTATTTGGGGTGCCTCCAGGCAGCTTGAAGCTCATTGTAGTCAATCAGGGCTCCTTTTGTAGCAGGAACTCCTTTGCATATCAGGCGACATGCCCCTAAAGTAGCCAACCCTCCAAGAGCTTACAGTAGCCCCTGTAAGAAGAGCTCTGTAAGCTCTTGGAGGATTGGCTACATTAGGGGTGTGTCACCTGATATGCAAAGGGGTTCCTGCCACAAAAGGAGCCCTAGGAGTCATGGGAAATAAGTGGGTTTCTTGGAATAGTGCCCCACATGGATATCGGATGTGTTGTGGCCAAGAAGCCATTCCAGACGGGACTATTAAAGAGACTAATTTACTAACAATGCCTTGCTGGACTGCGAAGTGGGTGCTGGGGCAACGGACAGAGCTGTGGTCCCAAGTGGAGTGCCCCGGACTGGACAATGGACAGTACACCATGGCCAGGGAAGCCTGGTGCCAGAGGTACACGCCGAGCCAGATCTGGACCCCAGACTGCAGAAGACTTCTGCCCATGCTCCACTGTATCTGTACCAGTGTTCCCTCTAAGCTGAGTTAGTGTGAGCTAGCTCACAGTTTTTTAGCCTCCGGCTCACACATTTTTGTCTTCGCTCAGGAAGGATGGGGCTCCAGAGCTAACTAATTTATGCAGCAGCTAAATCGCTTGCTCACAATTTTAATGCCAGTAGCTCAAAAAGTAGGATTTTTGCTCACAAGACTCCACAGCTTAGAGGGAGCATTGATCTGCACAGGTTCTGTGATGCAGACCAGAAGCCCCGGTCCTCATGAACACAGAAGCAACAGCAGACCAGAGAGGAGCCATTTTCTGGAATAGTGATACAGAGAATGGATAACAGTTAAGATAGCCCAACAATAAGACCCAAAGGGCACTCTCAAATAGCGCTGAACAATAATCAAGTGCAATATATTGTACAAAAGGAATATCAAAATTAACAAAGTGGAAAATGTGAATAATTCATCATTGTTAACCATGTTCTCCGGAAGGCTAGCGACCATTTCACCTGCCCGTGCAAAACACACTGAATAGATATGACTTCTAGAGTCTGAATCTTTTAGAGATGAGTATGGTGCGAGACATCTGTTGAAGATATATGAATAACAAGACACAGTGTTGTTCAGGGGAAGTCCCAATGAAATGGTATAGTATTCCGGAGAACATCGTTAACAACTATGAACTATTCACATTTTCCATTTTGTTAATATTGATTTTTTTTTGTACAATATATCGCACTTGATTATTGTTCAGCGCTATTTTACAGTGTCCTTTGGGTCAATGTTTTGGAAGAGGCCAGGTGTACAGACGCCATGAAGGGATCGCCTCTCCAGCATGCAGCACATTCCTCCCCCCCCCCAGTCATCCTCAAACAAAGACCGTAGCCCAGCTAGAGACAAAAGAAGCAATTAAGCCTTCCTGCCACCGATCTAGAGAATGCTCCTGACAAGCACTGAGCCATTAAAGAAGAGAAGAAGAAGAGATTGGATTTATATTCCGCCCTTCACTACCCAAAGGTGTCTCAGAGTGGCTTACAAACTCCTTTCCCTTCCCCTCCCCACAACAGACACCCTGTGAGGTGGGTGGGGCTGAGAGAGCTCTTGACAGAGACTGCTCTTTTTTCAAGGACAGCTCTTATCAGAATTGTGGCTTGCCCAAGGTCATCCAGCCAGGTGCAAGAGGAGGAGTGGGGAATCAAACTCGGTTCTCTCTCCCAGATTAGAGTCCACGCACTTAACCACTGATTGCACCCTCCTTCCAACTGTCGTTTCTTTTGTCTTATCCATCCTTAGGTATTGTTTGTTTTTCCCCCTAACATTTTCCCTAACATTTCCTAGGAAACAGTGACTGCCCGGCTCTTGCCTCACGCCGCAAATTGGCTACTTAAGGGGATGAAGAAGAAGAGAAGAGATTGGATTTATACCCCACCCTTCACTTGGAGTCCCAGAGCGGCTTACAGACTCCTTTCCCTTCCCCTCCCCGCCACAGACACCCTGATAAAAGGACAGTGGGGCTGAGAGAACTCTGACACAAACTTTCATATTAGCAATCTTTTTTGGCGTCATATACCATCTGTACATCATCTTATAGCAATTTTCTTTCAAATTAGTACATGTTGATATTTTCATTGCATTTTTCCATAAAAACTCCCATGAGGACATAGATATTTGTAAATAATAAGTGTAAATAATAAATAAATATTTCTGGCTTCTCTTATGTCCTTATGTCTGGGACAAGGGATGCTCTGTATTCTTGGTGCTTCTTGGGGGGGCAACAGTGGGAGGGCTTCTGGTGTCCTGGCCCCACTGCTGGACCTCTTGATGGCACCTGGTGTTTTTGGCCACTGTGTGACACCGAGTGTTGGACTAGATGGGCCATTGGCCTGATCCAACATTGGCTTCTCTTATGTTCTTATGACTGGCCCAAGTTCTCCCACAAAACTCCATGTCTGAGTACCTGGATGCAAGTGTCCCAGAACTGGCTCTGACCTCCGGCCACCACATAGCACGGGCCCTCTCATTAGGTCTTCAGCACCACCTACCCCCGAGGACGCCCACCAGGAGCTTGGAGCGTCCTCTCTCCCTCCAGTCCTTCCCCTCGAACTGCCTGTCTGGGATGTCCTCTCGACTGCCTCCTTGCCATCTCAGGCTTAATGCATCTATTACAGACTGTATTTTTCCTTTGTCTTCCCAAGCTCTCCTCTCTGTGTGTATTCTGTATGCGTGACCATAAAAAAGACATGGATTACTCACCTAATTATTATTTATTTATTGACACAGGAAGCATGTATTGATATAAAATACAGAATGAAGGCGATGCAATGGGCATGCAGACTGATTGAACAATCCCCCTAAATACTAATATCTCAATTTTCAATCCACTCAATCGCAGCTGGGGAGAGTTCAAAGAGCTCCGCCACATCTCCCTGGAAAGCACAATGCTCACATTCCTGTGCCAGATGGAAAATGGTTCGGCGGACGGCACCACGATGACATTTGGGTCCTGGTGTTTTGCCCCATCTTAGCCATCTTCCATACTTTACGTGGCCAGTCAAATCCCCTCTGTGCCTGCTTCTCCCTCTCCTTCCTTCTGTCAAATTCCCTTTCTTATCTTCCCCCTATTGATATTTTGCCTGCAATGTCCTTGGAACAGGATTCACTGGTAGGGCGTTTTGCTTACTTTACTTTGGAAAGCAGAACTGGCACTACAAGCAAATGATAGCATTGTATTGTTGTTCTTTTATTGAGGCATTACCTTGGTTGCCTTAATTTGAGCTGCCCAAGTGGCAAAAACACAAACTGTCCTCCTTTGTTCACGGTATATTTTATTATCTTAGAGGAAACATTGGTGGTCTCCAGTGTTGTCTCCAAGCCGAGTTAGTGTGAGCTAGCTCATAGGGTTTTTTTAGCCTCTGGCTCACACATTTTCATCTCGGCTCGCGAAGGGTGGCTCCAGAGCACACTAATTGATGCAGTAGCCAAATTGCTCACTCACAACTTTAATGCCCGTAGCTCACAAAGTGGAATTTTTGGCTCACAGACTCCAACTCTTGGGGAAGGTGGGAGAGAAAGGGAGGGGGAAGGAGGGTGCATTGGTGGCCTCCCTTCCATTCTACGGAACAGTTCTTAAATCTGAACAAACCGTAGCTCAGTCAGGCTCACCTGAAGTGGCTTCCACCACCTCTTTTTCTGCCATCATGTTGAGGGGGGGATTGCACGGCACCTGGAAATATGCTGGCCCCAAAAAGCTGCTCACCTTTGCACATGGATGACACAAGTCAAGGTCGGCTTCCTCCTCCTCCTCCTCCTCCTCCTGGCTTTCGGTTCCTGTTCATCCTGTTTGTGAGATGAGAGCAGTTTGTCCCAAAGTCTTCATGATGTGGCTGCATGGTAGCCCCAAGACGTGTGGCCTCAAAAGGCTCTCTCTGCTGCCAGTGGGAAGTCTCTGATGCGCTAGAGCAGCCAGAGGTATACAAAACCGAGGCTGCCTTGGGGGAGGGGGCAGAACCCTGCTCTTGGGCTACGGTCCTCGGAGATGCTCCTGGGTCGGAAGCCCACAGGGAGTGCAGTGTGGTGGCTGGAAGCTCAGAGGATTTTGTCTGGATTGCGTCTCACAATGTCGGGGGAGAGAAGTATATTTTATACCCAGAGGCATATCCAGAACATGTTAACAGGCTGTGGGTTGGATTACTGGTTTTGGCCTACGCTTTCTTGCCCAAGCGACTCCCTGGCCTGAATTTCCATTCTGTGCCATTTGGCTGGTCCAAGTAAAAGTTAGGATGTGGATTGTATTTGGGGCTTCTGAATTGCCAGCTGACCTTCTGACAGGAATTCAGACCGGCCAATGGAAGAATCCCTTTTAACGAGTGTTGCAGAGAATGGGCTTTTCTCTCCAGCCAACCTTGCATGGATCCAAGATGGCAGCTACGTGCAAAGATGTGCACATTTCCTGTTGTGTCACTCCTGCCCCTGTCAGATTAATGCCAGAGAATCTGTGGTGTTTCAACAATAAGGGCTTACCTATTGAAAATGTAAGAGAGAACAGCGTTCCCCCTTTGAGTTCCCTTTCCATAGGGTTATTTTTGTTGGAAGTAATGGCCCATGCAAGGTCTCTTAGAATGAACTTGCAGAATTCAGAGGGTGCAATAGAACCAGAGGGACAAAGAGGTCACGGCTATCCAGGCGTCATTTCCTGCAGGAGCGCACAGGAGCGGAGCTCCGGCAGTAAAGAGCCCAGGGGGTGGGAACATGCAACAAGCCCCACCCCCTGCTCTCGGCAGCCCTCAGTCAGAGCAAGAAGAAGCCAGGTAAGTTGCAGAGGCCCCCCCCGTCCCCTGGTCCAAAACAGTCCAGTGGCACCTTTAAGACCAAGGTTTTTTCAGGTACAAGCTCTCCCTCCTCACAGAGGGAGATTTGCATGT